TATATATACTGTATATATACAAATATACAAATATATATGGATCTAACTGTAAATAATTTGTGTGTTTGTGTAATATACCAGTAAATAACGGTTATCAGCCATAACAGCAATAATTATATTGGATATCAATATCGGCTAATATTTTCATATTGGTGCATCCCTAATTTTTACGTATTATTGTAGAAAAAAGACCTGAAGGGCCACAAGTTCCTTTTAATCTTTATCACTTCTGTAGTGAAGTTATTATAAAGTGTTTCAGGTATTCAGACTAAAACATACTGTCATCCTGAATTGGTGCTTCAAATTTTAATATTTTGTTGATGAACTATTAAACAGACTATTTTCACCCAGACCTGCTGCATCATGGCTTCCTGTGGAGGCACTGACTTAATGAAAAAATAAACCAGTCAAATAAGAAACAGCTGAGTGTAGCAGTGAGGAACTGAAAAAAGACTCATCTTGAGATGAGCTGTACGGTGGAATCATTGGTCAGAACTGCTGCCTCACAGCAAACAGATCCCAGGCAGGGTCTTTTTTGTGATGTATACATGTTCTATTCATGGATTTCCTCCAGGTACTCTGRTCTTCCCACAGTTGGTGTGGATGTCTGCTTGTGTTTTGTGGACCTGTGATTGACTGGTTACCTGTCCAGAGAGGACCCTCTCGATGTTCCATTGATTCAATTCAGATATATCTTGAACAGGAGACAGTCCGTCAGGGTCCAGCATAAACTAAGACCTGCATTTTGGAATGTATATTTTCTGCTGAATTTAATTCCAGACTAAAACCCCTACTCTGGTTCATAAGRTATTTTGGTATTAGACATTTACACTCACTCATACCAGGAGAAAACCTGAATGGATAAAATATACAAACTCCACACAGAAAGACCCCAGCAGAGTTCAGAACCCGTTCCACTGTACAGCTGGCTCTCATGCAAACCTTATACCTCAAACATTGAAATCAACAAAAAGACATTCTGAAGCAGACATCTCACCCCAGAACAACACATTTAAGTGAAAAGCTCTGACTGTTACCTGAGTAGTGCCGAACCAGCTGCTGCAGCGTATCAAACTGAGCCCTGGTGGTGATATAGAAGCCACCGCTGTCCAGCTTACGGATCTTATAGTGCTTGACATGATCACCTTTCACGTCGTCCCAATCCCGTATGGACAAAGAGAAGGCTCCTGGAGATACAGATCATGAGTTGGTGAGGTGAAACACACTCATGACTACAAAAACAACCTGTCTGTTGCTCAGTAAAAACTGTTATTATTTATCAGCTTGAGTCCAGGCTGTTGGTAACATCTCCATCTTCTACCTGTTATCTGTCATGGGTCATGGAGGCAACAGGTCCAGGATAGAAATCCATATATCCCTCTCGAACTACCTGGAGGACCTCAGGTGTTTCCAGACCAGAGAGGATACATAATTCCTCCATTGAGTTCTGGGTCTGCACCAGGACCTATTCCCAGTGGTTGATGCCTGAGACATCTTTAAATGGTAAATGGTACTTAACTTATAGAGCGCTTTTCTAGTCCCTCCGGACCCCAAAGCGCGTTACACTAACAGACATTCACCCATTCACACTCACATTCACACACTGATGATGGCAAACTACACTGTAGCCACAGCTGCCCTGGGGCACACTGACAGAGGTGGGGCTGCCATGCACCGGCGCCACCGGACACTCTGACCACCATCAGTAGGCAAGGCGGGTGAAGTGTCTTGCCCAAGGCCACAGCGACTTAGACGGAACGAAGGGATAACTATTT